AGCTATCGATCAATTATGCACTGATGGGACACCATGTATATGTGTTATTGACTAACACATTGGTATTGTTACATGGGCAAATTTATCGGGAATTTTATGCCAAGATAATATACAGTGTGTTGCGCTTGAAAAAATTGAATAAATTGAACTTAAAATTAGCCATATTTAAGACATGATTCAAAACACTATGTATAGAATAAACCAGTTGTATCACCTCTATTCGTTATCTTAGTATTTTATAAGTCTGTATTTTAAACAATTTTGAAATTAATGTAAACCTACCTAAATTATGATAATTTTATTTGGGGTCTGCATCATTCTCTAATTTAAAAAAAAATAATAAATTGTTTGGCAATGTAATATTTTTTAAAAAAATTTTAAATACAGTATTCATAAGCCATTCTAAAAATAAAATATAAGGTGTTCTATTTAAAAAAACACATTTTTATTTGTCAGGCAAAAACGCAACACCCTGTATATCCAAAAATATTTTTAAAATATGTATTTTTCAAATCCATATAACTTTTATTAAAACTTGTTTGCTGGTCAATAACACAAATTGAAATATTGAACAATTAGGAACTAATGGGACCCTTATAAATTTTAATTTTCAAATTGCAGGATTATTATTTTAGATGACAATGTTTAAGAAACTCTTTGTTTTATTGTATTTATTATATCTCTCTATTTTTGTTTAATATAACATTTAAAAAAAAATTGATGTTGACTATGGCTTGGGGGGTAATTACCCCCATTACCCCCCTTATCTACGCCCTTGCATTTAAATTACATGGCTAAAGGGCACTTTTCAATATAAATTTATCGAAAGGGTGTAAACGACATTGCACGTTTTAGCGTAATTATTAAAGAAATATTATTAAATTTAGATTCTATAAGTGCAATTGTATACTTTAAAACCAAAATATCTAACTTACATTAACATTTTTCCCACTTTACAAGCTCTCGGAGTAAAATACGTGTTCTCTTATGGACTGTTACTAACCTTGAAACGAGATTTAGGCGGAAATATTTGTCGCTTACATTATTTAAAATCTAAATATTTTGCGATCGGGGTTTTTGACAGTTAATTTTTTTTGTGGTATCGATGTGAAATAATGTCAGGTTAAATTTCGCATAAATATCTTAATTTGGTTCATTTTGTCACTTAGCCTTTTTGTCAAAACACCGTCGATATAAATGATAAATGAGTAGATATGAGAAAATTCACAGAAAATAATTCCCACATTCAATGTGATTTTTCGTCACGTAATTTACCTATTGTTCTTTTTTTAGTTGCAGATTGTAAATAAAAATTATTAAATAAAATATATATTTCCCAACTTTACTCTAAATAATTTTTAGAAATAATATTAGACACTTTATTTTAAAATTTCCTTTAATCTGACTGTTAATTAAATCAATTAGTAAAATTATAAAAACAAATAACATACTGTGATGTTTGTTTATTTTCAAACAACAGTTTATTTATTAATAATTTATTTAAACACTTATTTATTTTATAACACGATTATTTTAATTTATATATACTTCGAATGTCTTTAAACTGATCACTATTTATATTCACCACTGTCTATCTACTAATTACTATTTATCTGCACTGTCCATATAACAACTGATGATGATGGCTCATCCACCAATATTTATATACAAATTGGTGGTCTAGAATGCTCCCCCACCAAAATTGCCAGTATGTACCAGAAACGTTATCACGTTCTAGAAATAGTATCTCGTTGACCCTGGAATGTTCGCGAAAGTGTCTCCACCATAGTCGTCCCATAGGTTTGGTCTTAAGGGGTTTAATTATGTATAATAATCGGACAAGTTGAGCCTCAAAGGCCAAATAAGACAGAGAGGGACTTGTAGGGTTAGAGCATGACTGAATAATGAAATGGCTCACATAACAATACAACACAACATACAGGAAACAGATAAATGTTAGAAATGTAAAAACTAAAATGTCAGATATTGATAATACTGATTTTGGCTTCTTCTTTGTTTAAATCATTGACACCATATTATTTAAGAATGGATTTATTTGTTGCACTAGTGTCACACTCGCACTGTATTCGAACTGTCATACTTGTCAAAAGTTTATGAAGAGCACATAAAAATTTAAAGCTAATTATTATTATTTTTACATCGATATTATCACAACTACCATTCTTTATGAAATAAAACACTCGGATAAGTGCCATTTTTTTATTAAAATTAGTTTAAATAAAAATACGGATGTGCCCTAAAAGGGGCTATGTGCTAAACCCATTATTTAATTATGTCATCCTACTAAAATACAGTAGTTTAGGAAATGTGCCATCCAAAGTTTTTATTAAATACGGCTAAGTGCCAAGCGCAAACCACATTTTTTCTGTATGTACTTGGTAGCTATTGCTTTGTTTGTCAAGATAGAACATACATACATTTCTTTTGTCCGGGCATAGTTTCTTACCATGAGATAGAGATGAACAGAGGAGGAAATGGTATAAGATTTTTGTTCCCTGTGAACTACAAGACATAGTGCTGTCTTCAACCCATAATAAAAAATTTGAAGTGCTTGAAATGACGAAAAACAAATTCTTCCAATTTCAGTTAAATTGTGATAATTTAATTAATACTAAAAATATCCAGTATCCAATGTCTGTATGATAAAATACAACGCATATTAAAACTGATAAGAAACAAATTTGCTTTCAATGATTCTTTTTTTAGACAAAAAGTATAGAGTGTTTTATACAAATGTATGTCAGTAAATAGCAGCTAATTGTATATTAATAGCGGAAAGTGCTACTTTGTCACTTAAAGCCTTGGTTTCTTTGAACACTCCGTCGCAGTGAGCGGACAGTCCGTCGACCGCTGAGGACAGCAATTTTCGCTCGATGGATAGTGATCATAGAAAAAATACATTATTTTAGCTTCTAGTTATTTTTGGAAGTAGAATTTTTAAGTTAGTGTATCTACATTAATGTAGAAAATGTATTAATTTAATTAGGTTCAAGATTTGTTAAGAAAAACATGAGAACTATTATTTTGCAATAACAGAATTATTTGAAAGCCTTAGTCATTTTTTGGAGTAAGACAGCATCATATGCATATACATTTTTAAGTTTTAGTCTCATGGCACATAACCTTTTTTAAATATTGCCTTATGGGCACTTAGCCTGTTCCAGTAGGTAAAATTTTTAAAAATTATTTTCAAGATAATCACTTAAGTTGAATTTCTAATTTTTTATCAGGGTATTCTAAAAACGTAAAACATAGATAAAAAAAATTGAACTTTAACATACTTTATATTAAGTGGTAGTTTAAAAAAGGGCCGGTACATTCTGCCTCTGATTAAACACACGAATACGAAATCACGTGTTTAATTTAATCAAATAACCTAATCGTGATTAAGCATTATTGAGTATTTTACAACCAAAGAAAAACCGAACTCGGCATAATATAGATAGATGATTAAAAACAAAACAAAAAAAACCCGAAACCATTACTTTAAATGAAAAATGTATCAAACGAAAATAGGAGGGGTTTTCATTTATCCATATTTCATAAATATGCTTTCAATTTCTTTTCTCGCATTATTTAAATTCTACTTTTTGGACTAAATCTTAAAAAAATGTATTATCATAATATCCAAATCCTAAAATAAACTTTTCTTTCTTAGTATAAATTCATCATATTATTAGCGAAAATAGTCAAACTAACAATTTGAAATTCAGGGTTATGAAACCTTGATTTAAGTTATAATCGTAGTTTTCGGAGCTGTTAAATTTAGACGACAACAAAAGTACTTAAAATGACGCTGTCAACTGTAATCATCTGTTAAATTTAGTTATTCATGATTAAATAGGACTGAAAGTACCGGCCCTAAAACTAAATAGGCACTTAGCTGACTTATCCATTCCTCTCTTCAAATATATAAATTGGATTGCACGTCACGCTACCTACTCTCATGTTGTCTGTATAACGGTATAACAATTCTTTTAGTAATCAGAGACAATCGTATACATGTCTTTACAATGTTAAATAAATCAAGCCTTATTTATGCCTCAGTTTATGCTAACAAAACCTTACCTATGAAATAATCGCAAACATTTTTATTACAAATATTTTGGCACACTACACATTTCCTTACCATCCTAAATGTCCGTATTAAACAATTCGATGTTCAAATTATTCTCAAAGATTTCATAATACTACAAAAAGCACAATAAACCAAGCTGTCACTTGATGGTGTCAACGAAATATCATAGGTTGCCAAACTTAAAAATTATGAACCAGAATATTTTATATCCACATAAGATACATGTGTAAAAGACAATAAATGAACATCTTGAGTGATTGTAATGGTTAAAAAATTTATATTGAGACATTTAATTCTTTATTTTTCTTTTATAATTGTTTTTTTTATGGAAGAGATATGACAACATAGGAAAAACGTACCGTTAGGATAATGTTGCGGACAAATTTAATTTACACAAGGTGTATCTATTCTATCCGACAACTTTGATTTAAATACAGTACAGGAAGCCAGTATTTTATTAAAAAACGACCGTAAATGATGAGTGCGCATTCGAATATGTCAAAAAAGAAAAAAATTTATTAAAAGAAGTAGAAAATATTCGTTTCGATAACTCTCTAATAATAATAATAATAATTATAATAATAATAATAGTAATAGGGGGTGGGTTGGCTCAGTGGTTAGAGTCATGACTCTGAGATCGGAAGGTCTCAGGATCGAATCCCACCGGTGGCAGGAATTTTTATTTAATTAAAAAATTAAATATTAATTCTAATGCATAGGTAGGATTCCCCACTCGACCATTCACTGTTGGGTTCTAATTAACAGTGCTGTTCCTAAAGTGGCGCTGGGAAACAGTAACAAAGCCTACACAGAACACGAGGCTAATGGCCGTGGTAGTCGACGCCGATGACACCAAATTAAAAAAAAAAAAATAATAGTAATAGTAATATTTACTACTTACCCATTCTGGACTCACGTAGTATTTTCTTCTACACTCAACAATATCTGAAATGAACATTGATTTTTTTTTAATATTCTTTGTAGCAACAAGAGAAATGAACTTTTACGTATGATAAATTTAAGCCCATGTAATAGTTTTTAATAAAAATATTGAAATAATTCTAGTAATATGCCCTTTTTTACGCAGATTAAAAAAGTATAGACAATGCAGATTTTTTGCTACACACTGTATTTCAGAATTTAGCTACTTAAAAATCAACTTACTATTATAGAGAGTGAAAGTGAGAAACACTGTGAAAACCCACAAAGAAAGCCCTTTTAATTTTATCATTGGAACAAATAACTACTAAAACACTAAAATGAAACGATTTGAGACTTCCTCATTATCTATCAACCTCAAGACTGATGCTTTCTTTGGGGGGCCTTAGTAGCTGTAGAAAAATTCAATAAACAATAAAGATAGCACAAATATGTGTCAAATCTCAAGTATTACCGATACATTAATGCAATTCTTAGTTTAATTGACTGATTAATATTAATCGTTCTTTTTTCTTCTGATAAATTCAATTTTTTGAAGCATATATTTAAAATTTGTCAGAAATTTTTTAATGGTAGATTAAGAGGTGCATTTTAAAATGATTTCACACGAAACAATATTATAGGAGATAAGGAATTAAGTGCATTTTTTTCTACAAAATATATGGAATGGTTTAATAAATTGGTATTACTAAGGCCTTTACCTATAGGGCTTTAGTATTGTATTTATGTCGACTAAAAAATGTTCTGACTCTCACTTTTCAACACTTTCCTCCACGTTTTCTATTATTCTATGTTCGAAAACTAAAGTTCCGATCGACTTGCAGTTTTGATTTTCTTGGGCAATAGACCGGCCGGTAACGACATATTTTTTACAACTTTTTTTTTAATTTATGCCTCTTTAAAGTTATGATTATTATAGGATTTTATGTCCCAAGTTAATTATCTGTGAGTGCTCGCATGCAGCGGCGTCACCCAGAAAACCTGAATTTGTATTAAAAATGGATAATTGCAAATGATTCAGAAAGTGTGCAAAGAGAAAATACAAAACACGAAACTCAACTTTCAGTCACTTTAATTTCACAAAATACCAGTAGGTGCAGTGAATACCCAGTTATATTTCATAAAAACACATTATTTTAAAATATATAAAAATATAAATTCAATTTTAATAATTTTATTGTTTTCATACGTGTCAATCTCTATTTTTGTGTACGCTACTGCGCTCTGGCTAATCGCCTCTCCGTAGCTTACTTTTATAAGTGAGCCCGGGGAACAAGAAGTTTTCGCGAAAGTCTATAGCTACGTCAGCAGATCCATGAAACGTAGAAAACAAACAGTATGCCTGGATAAAATAAATTATCTTAATTTGCGCACACAGTAGGGCGGGGCATACGAACTTTCCAATCATTGATTTGAAGTAAGGAGGAAATGCTATGACGATACTAAAAGTGTCTACACACTTTTATGTCATATGTCAAAATCGAGCAAGTGGAGATAGTCAGTTTTAGTGAGAATAAATGCCGTAGTGTTTATGTCGGTGTTCTCAACTTCATTCCATCTGTTTCTATTTCTATGTTTATAATCAAACTACATTTTTATAACTCGATTTAAAAATTCCCATAAGACAATTTTAATTGTGTTTAAATAAAACTGCGACTGAATGTGTGTCAATTCAACGATTGTTCTCCATATTGAAGAACTGTACAAAATTAAAAAACACTGGAATTGTAATAACTCACGATCTAACTCAAAAACAAAGGGAAGAAAATAAGATTTTACGTGAAAGTTTAAATCACTGTAGAAGTACAACAACCAAAAAGAGCTATATAAAAGGAAACAAACTGCACGTTGGAAGCAAACAATATACAGTGATAGGATTAAAAGAAAACGATTATAGTAAGAAAGAAGAAAAATCAAATAGTGCTCCACCAACCCCTATTGCTAATTTAAAGCCTGATAAAGAATTGACAATCACTCAGCCAACACTCACAGAAACCCACAAAAATAAAAATATATTATTGTAGAAATCTGTAGAGCCTTGTGATAAGAAAGACAAGAAGCCAAGAGAAGGAATCAAGGTTGGTAAACTACCCAACAAATCTTCTGTTAGTGGACAAGTTCTAAGAAAAAAATATAAAACTCGATTAAATTCAAATTCTGATAATTCTAAATAATTTTTACGAAGCCCACATACTATTTTTAAAATTCTTTGGGCCAGATTGTATTGATTTTAGTTGCTATTGTATATACAGGGTATCCCGAAATTAGACGGTCATATTTTAACAACGTAGTCTACATCCTAAAATAGGAGTAAAAGTTCATATAAACATAGGTCCAAAAACGTTTCGTTTTCGAGATACAGGGTGTTACAAGTGAAGTCCTGAAGGCACATTTTTGTAAAAAATTTTAAAATTTCTTTAGTCACCGGTTTTCCAAAGTTAAAAAAAATCAAATTTCTGATTCCATAGGCCTACTAATTATTGTTTACACTTTCGAATAACTTATCATGAAATTTTTAAATGCTTTTCTCTTGAAAATGGTGCGTCCTAGCGAGATGCTACAAAGGTAGCTTTATTATAAAGAAAACATTGGTTATTCAAATTTTATAGTCAAAAATGTTAAAAAGTGTCAACAAAAAAAACTTCTCCCTTAATTTACCCATCTATGAAGATGATAAAAAACTGGGGTTTAATACATTAAATAGAGCGTAAAAAGGTAAGCATTTGTACTAAATTTCACTTAGTTATCTTTAAAAGTTTATAAAATATTTACAAAAGAAACGTTTTCGGGCCTATGTTTATATGAACTTATACTCCTATTTTAGGATGTAGATTACGCTGTTAAAATATTACCGTATAATTTGGGGACACCCTTTATATTTTTATGGTGTCATTTATCATAAAATCAGATCATATTTTTGTGTATTTTAAAAATTAAAAATGGATTCATATTTGCGCGACTTTGAGATAGATACTATTAAGGTGATTACAGCACCCCCTTATAATTTTGGCACAAGGATATCTCAAAAAGTAATTTTTTTAGAAAATTTAAATTTGGGCAAAATAAATAAGGCAATAATATCTAGAATATGCATATTTTTTAAAGATTTAATTCTTTTCAGTTTCCGAGAAAAAAAATCAAAGGGCGTTAAATTTTGAAATATAATAAAAATAAATGCATTCTTCAACAGCACTATTCCTAATATAATCCCCAAATTTAAGCTCTTAATCTCTTGTTAATGATTTTTTAAAATTCGCCGAAATTAGTGGCTAAAACGACTCGTTAAGTGATTTTTTTCTAGTGTAACGCGTCTGTAACTATCGTATCGTACACTCTGAGTCATCATTCGTTTCTTGCAACGATTTACACCAGTTTACACCAGTTTAAACCAGAAAATAGCACTTAACAAGGCGTTTTAGCCACTAATTTCGGCGAATTTTAAAAAATAATTTACAAGAGATTAAGAGATTAAATTTGGGGATTATATTAATAATAGTGCTGTTGAGGAATGCATTTATTTTCATTATGATATTTCAAAATTTAAAGCCCTTTGATTTTTTTTCTCGGAAACTGAAAGGAATTAAAATTTTAAAATATATGCATATTTTAGATATTATTGCCTAATATATTTTGCCAAAATTTTGGTTTTTTAAAAAAATTACTTTTTGAGATATCCTTGTCCTAAAATTATAAGGGGGTGCTGTAATCACCTTAATACTTTTATATTAGAAAAATATCATGAATGTAATACAGTTTTAGAAGTGAATAAGGTAAATCATGATTTCACGATTTTTCATAACAATATACGGAGTCTACGTAAAAATTTTGATGAATTTAAAATACCATTGCAAAAAGGTAAGTTTGATTTTGATTGTTTAGTGTTAACTAAAACCTGGTACTTAACAGAACCGAACTTTTACGATATGCCTGGATATAATTTAATATACAATCAAGGGCAACACAATCAAAATGATGGGACAATAAGGTATATTAAAAATATTTTTTCATTCAAACATTCTATAATAACTAAAGGAACTTAAACTTCCTAAAAGTAGAAATTGGTAACGAAAATATATTAATTACTGCTTGTTATCGATCACCATCATCTAACGCTGATGATTTCTTACAAATTTTACAAGAATATTTTGAAGAAAATCAGTCAAAAAAATACGAATACAGCATTTTTCTTGGAGATATAAATATAAACATTTTAGAAAATAATTACAATAAAACGAAGTACTTGACTAAGTGAATTTGGATACATATCAATGATAAACAAACATACTAGACAAACAACTTGTATAGACCATATGTTCCTTAAACCAAAAAAATATGAGTCGATTGATATGACCATCCCAATAATATTTAAATCAAACATTACTGATCATGATTCAATTATTCTGCAAGTCGTTTTTGAGGATGAAAGAAAAAAAATCAATTATCACAAAATATAAAGAATTCATAGATTACCCTAAATTTTTCTATTTTCTATTAGTAAATCAGTACTTATCAATACTCGAACTTTATTTATATTTTGTATAAACGTATATTCTTTTTTCTTTTTTTTTTCTTTTTGAGGTTATAGTGTTTAGTACCAATTATATACAAAAATATTATTAGTTTTTACGACTGTAATTTATATTTTGTTTTTTGTTCCAGTCTCTATGACTTCAGATTAGTCATGTGTTTTGTACTCAATTGTAAGTACTATGCAGTGAACAAAAATATGAGTTTCCTACAAAAGAGGTAAACGAAGTGTCACAAAAAAACTGCTTAAATGGATACAATGTCATTAGAAAAAATTCACAGATACCAAATTTAATTATATTCGAGTGTGTTGGGTAAACTGTAGCAATTTTTTTATGTTAATTTTTCTTAAAACGGTACTCTTTTAGAGGAAAACCATCAAAATTAAGCAATGACTGAGTTCCATCAAAAAATGGGCTTTTATGGCAATGATATAAAGTACCTAACTTTAAACAGATCTTAGATTGCAGTTGCCAGCCAATAAAAATCATTGCACATTGTACTAGAACGTATTTCACATTTTCTTTTATATTTTATTTGAACATGGATAATTTCTTGACCCTAGTACAATTTTGTATGAATAATTGTTTTATTTTGTAGGATTTCCATAATGCATTTGAAGTTCTAGAAATATGTCATATTCTATAAATGCTAGAGGTACTGATAAACAGTGTCAGACTGATGTAGCGGTAATGATTTTGCTCGAATGCTGCTATCGCATCGTCGCATGTCTTCGAATAACACTGAAGCCTATTGGCTTATTGTGTTTTACCTCATGTTAGTTCATAGCACCCACTCTGTCACCTTTGTATCTTGTACAAGTTTGTACAGATCCTTGGGTGAGTTGGTTCTATACGTTGTTTGATTAACCTGGGGTTGTCCAAAAATAGCCTGTCTTGCTTCGCATTCGCACAGTATGTGTTTGGCCGTTTCTGGTTTCTTGTGACATTGTCGGCACATGAGTTCCCCATTGTACATGCCAATTTTGTTCAAGTGTCCCTTTACTGGGGCGTGCCCAGTCATGAACCCTGTTATCACTTTCAACTGGTTCCTATTCATTAAGAGTAGTTCTCCAGTTCTTTTGGGACATGGTATCCCTATGAAGGCTTTTCCATGTGCCTGTTTTGAGGTACTTCCCCAATAGTTGATATTTTGTTCCCGAATCCAGTCGTTTATGAAACCCCGGACTGTAGTTTTTGGTACACCTGGGTTTGTGTCTGGTTCCGGTGTTTCTTCTGACCCTCTTTTTGCAAATTCGTCAGCCTTTTCGTTGCCTTCGATCCCTTGGTGACCTGGCACCCAAAATAGTTTTACTCTATTTCGGTCTGCCAATGTTCTTAGTTCTTCGATGCATTCCCATACCCGCCTCGATGTAACTTTCTGACTCGATATGGCCTTAAGTGCCGCTTGCGTATACTTCGGCCTGAAATACCGAGGAATGTATTCCTATAGCATAGCTATGGTTAGTAGTAGGGTTTTTGGAAAATACTCCCACCTCAGCGCCTTTCGCAGTCTTGGACCCGTCTGTATACCAGGTTTGTTCCTGTCGTTCGGTATTGGGCTCCCTTATGGTGATCTCCGCTCTTTCCTGTATTAAAACCTCAAATGGAGTATTAAAAGAGTACCTCTTGGTTATGTGTTCTGATCTCATGTCTAGCACGTCTCCTGTCTCTAACCTTGAGATACTCATGTGACCTGGCCTAATGTCAAGATTTCCCAGTATATTGCCTAATCTGTAAGCACCTAATCTTGCCTCCCCTTGTATCACATAGTGAAGAGGTGGTAGTCCTATTAGTGGTTCCATTGCAGCAGTGGGGGTTGTTTTCATTGCCCCCGTTATTCTGAGGCAGGCAAGTCTTTGTCATTTGCTTAGCCTCGTTATTGCTTTCCATTGCTGTGTCTTTGGCCACTACACCAAAACTGCGTATGTTATTATCGGTCTCACCACCATGTTATAAATCCAATATACCATTTTTGGTTTTAACCCCCATTTTTTCCAAAGGATCGTCTTGCCATCATTAACGAGGTGTCCGCTCTCCTTGTGGTTTTTTTTCTAGATGATGGTTCCAGGTAAGTCTCGAGTCAATCATAACCCCGAGATATTTTACCTTCCCCTTAAACTGGATGCTTGCACCTCTTAGGTTTAGAGGCCCTAGTCCCTCCAATTTCCTCCTGCGGGTGAATGCCATTATGTCATATTTGTTTCGGCTAATGTTTAGTCCTTCCGCCTCTGTCCACTTTGTTACTATATTTAGAGCCTCTTGCATTCGATCTCTTACTATAGTGTTGTATTTTCCCTGTGCGATGATTACTAGATCATCGGCATGTCCCTTTTCTTTGAGAGCCCTAAGCAGCCCGTCCACTACAATGTTCCACAGGAGTGGATGCATCATTCCACCCTGCGGACATCCTCTCGCTACCCGTGCCGCTATTGTCTCTCCCATAAAGGTGCGATTTCGGTGGTGCTGCTCGAGCTGCGCGACTAGAGACGCTGGCCGCGGCAGCTGTAGCCGCGATTAAAAGATGTTTTCGGTGACGCAGTTCCAGGCAGCCGTTAACTGCGGACTGTAGCATTTTTGTCATTTTAAAGTTTTGCGGGGTTTATTATAAAATATGGATTTCGACGATTTGATAACATTAATTTTATTAGAAGAAGAGGAAGATGAAGAAGAATTTTACCAAATGTTATCTAGAAAAAGGTGTAAAGTTAAAGTAGATGAAATGTTTAAAAGGCGACGCGAAGAAGGGTAATTTCATTTATTAATAAATAATCATCTAAAAGAAGATGAACAAAAGTTTAGGCAATTTTTCCGATTGAATCTTGATCAATTCCAATTGAGTTTATATGAGAGAAAGGGTAGTTATTCCGGTAGATATGTGGTAGAAAAATTAGCTAACAACTATAACTACGCTATTAAAATTTAGTAATTTTGCAGATTTTGATTTAATCATTAAAATAGCATAAATTTGTTTACAATATGATACTAACCTTCTTTTTTTAATTCTTTAGCGAACTTTTTCCAACAATTTACTTTAATAACAAAATTTTTGTCTTCATAATCATAAATTACGGGATATTTTTGTATTTCGTTGATTAAAATTTCATCGTCATTTGACGTAAATGCCATTTTTTGCCCTAGTCACTACGATTTCAGCCGCTCGACTGCTTCGCGAGCAGTCGAACAGCAGCCGCTGCAGCGCGGGCTGCCGCCACTTTAGTCGCGCTGCTCAAGCTACATTGGTTCTATTTGAAACTGTATTAAACCAGTAGAGCAGCTGGAGACGCAGCTGCTAGCCGCCGCAGCCAGCCGCTTAACCGAAATCGCACCTTTTGGGTTGTGTGTATAGTTCTCTCCCTTAACATAGAGCGATTCAGGACACGAACGTTTCCTCGATTCCTCTGTGTTTAAGAAATCTAATGATCGATTCAACGGAGGTATTGTCAAATGCACCCTCGATTTCCAAGAATGCTCCCAGCATTACCTCCTTGTTTTCCAGTGTGTTCTCCATCCCTTTTATTAATTGATGGAGAGCTGTTTCAGTTGATTTTCCTGCACTATAGGCGTATTGGTCTGGGTATATTGGCCTCTGAATCAATATCCCATCTCTAATATGCCTATCTAGCAGTAGTCTGTGAAGAGTATTACAGATTTACTTTATCCGTATGTCCGATGTCACTTTTTGTCTGCACGATAAGTCAAAAACGAAAAATGATATCAACTTGAAAATTTTTGGCAAAAAATAAGCTCAATAAGGGGACAAAGCCTATTGATTTTGAAAAAATCTGATTAAAAATAGGGGGTTAAGATGGGTTAAAATTAAAAAAAAATCCTAAATTAAAAACGAAAAGCTCTATAAGAAGAAGGTCTATAATTTTGTAAAATCTTATTGAAAATGGGTGGATTGAAATTAATAAAAAAGTCATAAATCAAAAATGAAAAGCAATATCAACATTTTAACTCAAAAACAAACAATATTATCAACTTGAAATTTTTGGATGAAATCAAGCTCAATAAGGGGATAAAACCTATTGATTCTGAAAAAATCTGATTGCAAATGAGAGTTAAGGGGGTTTGTTAAACTGCGAAGAGTATACCTAATTTAAAATGTCACGCATTACATATCTTCATTCTAGTTTGTATCTGGGTAATATTATGTATTGTGATGGGACTGATCTCATAAAATAAACATTTTAGTTTACCTTTTTTATTTGCCAATAAAAGGTATTTAAAAAATATATTATTTTATTTGACATGTGACAAATTGTGAAAATAAAAACTAAAAAATGGTAGGTAAAGTTCCATATAATATTTTTTACACAAAAATCAATGTCAAGCTTTCTTCATAACCTGATATATATTTAAAAATAATCTCAAAATATGAAGAAAAGTCAGCTTACTCTAACTAATAATGTTTATAAATGTTTTTCAACGTATTAAACACAAAAAAAATATTACAATAACTAAAATATTAATTAATAGTTGTAGTGCTTGCAAACTTTATGATAATGATAATAATTAATACAAACCCAAATAAAAAAACAGCGATATTGGCGCTTTTACAAAGTTTTGAACCGAACTTACAGATAAAATTATTGGAAAAAGTGAACACCCTGAGTAGGTTAACATACCTAATTAATACATCATAGATTAGATACAAATTATTGCCAATAAAGCAAGCCAGCGACATCGAAGAAAACTTTGTTTACTGGTTAAACAACTTTTTTTAAGTATGTTCTAAAAAGAAAAGAGCGACATTAGACGGGGAAATAGGTAAACACAGAAAGATATGAACAGAAGAGTAAGAAAGTTTAGATGTAACTTAGACCTCTAATGTTCGCAAAACCAACAAGAATTAGTTCTTTCAGAACAAAATAAAAACCAGCTTGATAAACCACATATTATGTTTTTTCTACTCCTATTCTTCAATTTATTTATTAGGCATTCATTATCTGTACTTTAATAGCATCCATTAAGATACATATTTTCATTAAGATACAAGTTTACAGCCAATAGAAATGCAATATCACTGCAGAATTTGGTAAAAATCATATATGCCATGAACATCTGACATATCTAAAATTTATCAGTTTGACACTTTATTGTTAGATTTTAGTTGGTAAACATCCTGAAAATAATAAAATCGGCAAAAATGTATAGTGACAATAATGAACTAGATAATCTAACTCCGCCAGAAATTGTGGAACAGGGCACAAGAGCCACAAATAATTAGGTATAATTTATTACCATCAAAATCCACAAAAGTATATGAAACCTTTTATAGTCAATTCATGGATTGAGGGACAAGAAAAATGCAAACACATTTTCATAAAATGTAATAATTGTTTATTTTGATGACTTATAAAGAAAATTAAAACCGAAAAGTTTATTGACACATTATTCAATTTTAAAATCGACTTGATGTATTAAACATCAAGTGAATATATCCAAATATTCAAAATTACCCAAAAAATTAAAAACATTAAGTACAAATGAAATAAAGCAATCTATTGCAGAAGCCCCAGACGTTAATTATCTAGGGTTAGGGTGAGATTACAGAACGTCTGCAACTTTGCAAATATGGCGGACTTACAAATGTAAGTATTCCAATAAATATCTGCAAATTCGCAATATTTATTGTGGTTTATTACCCCCAACAACACTAAACCCAAATTTGGAATACGAAAACTTGATACTTGCATGTGTAAGTCAGTCATATTTGCAGATTTTCAAAGTTGCCGCCATATTTGCAGATCTGCAAAATTGCAGACGTTCTGTAATCTCACCCCTAGTGTCTAAGGTAAGTTACTTTTGAATGTAATATATATGTATGAAAAGCTGTGATTTTGTAGATAGTATGTATATTATGAGAGCTTGCAGAAGACACGAGCTACACAAGTTGGAGTTTATAGATGTAGATGATTTTCTATCAATCCTGTTAGTCACAATTAAAGAAACAAAAACAAAAACAACACGAAAATTCACAGTTACGGGAAAATATTATGAAATATGTATAAGTCCATGAATCTTCGTCCAAAAAATTGTATAACCCCATATTTTTTTATCAATTACACAAACGGAAAATGCACTATACAAAACGTAGGAGTAAACAAATTTGGAAACATGGGGAAAGAAATTGCTACTTACCTACTTAAATCTTCCCGACCCGAATTTATATACCGGACACTGCTTTCGTCGCAGTTCTGCCACAATATTGGTGGATGCCGGTGGTCCTATCACCACACTAAAACGTCACGGTGGATGGAAATCCACAGCAGTAGCTGAAAGCTACATTGACGTATCTATTCAAAATAAAGTCAACGTAGGTAATTAAATTTTGAATTCGATTGAATATAGCTGAACGAGCAAATCAATAAATATTCCATCAACATCACCAACGGCATTAACCAATATTGTTACAAAACTGCCAGAAGTACCGCAGTTGCATTTTAATAACTGTACCTACCATCAACAATATAACTATAAATCAAAAATAGTATCGAAATGAATAATTTATTTGTTAAATCTTGATTTCTATGTTTGTTAGTGATAAAGTTTTGATGTTTATTCAGTTCTTCCTCTATAAGTTTAATAAATTTTGAAAATAAATTACTTATTTTTTTTAATATAATTTAATGGTCGTAGAAAAATTAATGCATGCAACTCACATTTAATGGCTATTAAGACAGTTGTATTCATTACGACACTCGCCATGGCTCGTGTCGTAATTCTCATACTCGTGTCTTAATATTAAATGCTCGTAGTATAATATACTATTATGTTTGAAGGTGTCAACTTATTTTAATACCTACTTTTAATTATTTTTCTTCGATTACACCATTTTGTATAAGAAGGTACTCATTATATTCTCATATAAATTTCTTTTAAAAATAACGAAAATGTATGAAATGGTATGTCGAATTGATGGATACATGTTCCTTTAACACCTTTATCATTGCATCTAAGTACACCCACGGGATAGAAAATACCTTTTTCTACCAATTTTTTTTGTAAACAGTAAAGAGAGACTACTAAGAATTTTTTAATGTTAGATATCAACAATAATATATCAACCATAACTAAACAACAATAACTAGACCTCAACAAAGATACAAAAAAGCTAAACTAACAACAGATATAAAATGAATGTGAAAATAAATTTTTAAAAAAATGTTAGATAACACCTTCTTTTATTAACCTTTTCAATTTAGGTACAAAACTATATAAAAATATCATATTTATTCTATAAAACTTTCTTATTAATTTATAATATAATTTGAACTCTGTTGAAAATAGTATCATTACTAATACAGAACATTTCTGGTCTTACATTCAACAAAAAAAAGCGGGATCGGACAACTCGCCGCCGTCGACTCGCCACCGTCATCTCGCCGTCGCCATCTCGCCGCGGGGACAACTCGTCACCGCCGACTCGCCGCCGTCATCTTGCCGCGGAAATAATTTCCACCGACGAAATAGTCGCTATAAAGATGGGGAATAGTAGCTTATAATGAATATGGACTAATAATTGAGTAGCCCAAATGCAAAACCCGCTATATGCTTCATAACTGAATTTTGGATAATAACGAAAAACCTATTACTAAATAAAAATAAGACACAGAAAATGTTTTGATGATTGAAAAAATTAAAAATAATTATTCTAAATCGTAGGAATAGTTGCGTATAATCCTATAAATTGCCGAATTAAGTTATTTAGGTTTATAATTTTTGTGGTGGATTATGCCCAGCAATTAATTGTTCATAAAATAAATCTCGTCCATGTTGTATAGTTTTTAGAGCATTTATGAACTTCCAAATTGTCGGATGATTCATGCCCAGTTCAACTTGTAGTCGACGATGAGCGGCTTCAGCGAAGTTGTTGGTTCTGTCTTGGGAATTTATGGTTCTACTGTAGACGTTCCATGTTTCTGGTGCAAATAATGGACGACGACGTCCTTGACCTCGTCTGTTAGGACGTCCAACGTAAGTATCCTCTAACCAGTCTAAAAGTGGACGGAGGTCTTCTGGAATAACATCTCCAAGGACATCAATTGCTTCATCAATATCTTGAACTGGTACAAATGCAAGTGCAGTTATCATTCGAGCAAATAAGGCAAATTCCGCATTTGTGTTGTAGTTATTAATTAGACCGAACGAACACAGATGTTTT